CTTCAAAAGCCACTTTTTATACAACTATACAACAGGACTAATTCACTAAATATTTTTTTTTAAAAGCTTAGGAAAAGATATCACTATAGAGACGACATTTTTAAAGTTCTTTTCATTCATATTTTACTCGATATACATGTATAACAGTAATAAGTGATCAGTAATAAAAGACACAGCATAATTTGCCACTATGTTTCATCTTTAATAGGTTTAACGGCCAACTATGAAATTAACGTTTATATTTAAGGATTTTTTCAGCTTGCCATTGTCAACTCGTCCTATTGATCAATGCAGTTATTTCCCAATGTCACCTGCAGATGGTAATGATGTCTTAGGTGGAAATATTTTTTATATTTCTTAGCTGATTGATATGCAAAACCATGCTCTACGTATGAACAATTTCTGAAGTTAGATAAATTATTGACAAACAAATTGCTGAAACAAGAATATCAGCATTGTTGTATAGAGTCGTCATTTAGTACGCTCTATGGTCGATACAATAATCTTGTCAGTAAATTCAATTTATCACAAGTCAAATGCTGGTTGACTTTTTTCAAACTAATTCTTAAGCATTTTATGCACGTTGAATTGTCGACGGATTTTCCCGTTATTTCCCGATCATGACAAGGAGCACATGGCGGGTGTGACTCACTCTTCCATGGCACCTGATCCCACCTCTGATGTTTTGGAGATCTCAGTTTGTTCTGCTCCAATTTTACATTGTTTAATGGAATATTGAACTTGAATACTGTTAGTTGTCTTCATATACTTCATTACTTTTCTTCATTTTTAAACCAAATTAGACTACTAAATTTTTTTTTTAAGTCAGCATTTTAAAAAAAAAAATCTTTGAACGATATAAAGACTTTGTTTGCAAAGAAACTCACATTGAATTCTATTTTGACTGTAATATGAAAAAAAAAATGTTTAGCAACAGTTTTTAAGCAATTGTGACTGAGTTTACCTATTTACAGGCAGTTCTTTATCAATACATGGACTTGATGGTTGAATCGTAACTTACCACCATTTTTATAGTGAAAATAAGAAATTTTAATCAAGTGGAGCAATCAAAATTTACAATCCACATTTATGTATATTATTCTGTTGAAAGTATACTTAGTTTATTTTTTTTCATATTTATTTTACATTTTAAAAAAGATTATAAAAGATATGAACATTTCTTTATTATTTTGTCTAATATCTACAAAGGTTGGAAATACTTCTTATCCATACTTGAGTGAAATATGTTGAGATAACGAACAGTATTCGAGCTCAAAATCAAATAAACGTTAAGAATAAGAGCTGAGCAAACACGGACCTGCAAAACATCAGAGGTGGGATCAGGTGTCATGGGGGTGTGAGCATCCACTGCTGACCAGTCACACCCACCGTGTGCTCCTTGTCATGATCGTGAAATAAAGGAAAAAAATCCATGGACAACTCAGTGTGTGAATAATGGACTAACAATTAAGGCGTAGTCTGAAGTAAATTAGTTGGCATACCTTAATATTTAAAAGATAATTTAATTTATTTCATAAATATTATTTTTTATTTTAAAACAAAACAATATTTATTCAAATAACAATTTGTTTTCATTTATACAAAATTATGGCGTTTTCTTCCTTAAAAACAAATTTAAAACAAAGAAGATTAAAAACAAAATTCGTTTTGTTATAAAAACATATAATCTCATTATGGCAGGATTGCTTCTTTTTGTCTTTAGTTATAACAATGTATAAACTTATTGATATATGCAAATTTCATTATATAATCAAACCACTAAGTGGTCTTGGAATGATATATTTTGTTGTTCTTGGACCACAAATGATTTTATTCAACATGAAAACTGCACTGATGAGAAATTATCTATTTTCGGTGCATGCTTATTGTACAATGGAGTATGCTGACTAGCAATATCATAAAACACCTTTTTCCGACTTTGTTGCAAATGACAGCAACCATTATGATTCTTTTAAAAGATGAGATTTAAGAATGAGACATGTCACAATATCAACAAAAACTTCGAAAGATCACATATGAATCTACTTAACATATACAATGGGAAGTCGGGCATATGTCCAGGAGGCATTGCTCAACGCACCAGTCCAACATGCCATCAACGCCTTTGTATAGATCCGCCACTTTTACATCCTGACATTTTTGTGATGTCTGAGTTGTTGATGGAGATGATGTTGTTGTTGTCGTTGTTGTTGACTTTGTTGTTGATGTTGACGAGGGTGACGAAGATGGTGATGATGATGAGGGCATTACTGACGATGAAATTATGGTCATTAATGTTGAAGACTTTGTTGTGGACTGTTGTTTTTTACATTCACAATAATAAGACAAACACAGTCCTTTTGAACAACCCAACATGCATATTTCATCAAAAGCGTCTTTTTCGACCTCAAACTCAGGTTTAGGATAACATTTTCCATAGGCAGAAGATGTCGTTGTCAAGGTTGGAGTCAATTTTGTGGTTGTTTTTGTTGTTGAGGATTTGGCCGTGGAAGTTATTTGTGTTGTAGATTTTGTCGTAGTTGAAGGAATAGTCGTTGTGGTTGTTGAAGGATTAGTCCTATTGGTTGTTGAAGGCATGGTCGTTGTGGTAGATGAAGGGGTTGACGTGGTGGTAGTTGAAGGTGTAGTCGTTGTGCTAGTTGAAGGTCTAGTCGTTGTGGTAGTTGAAGGCGTAGTCGTTGTAGTGGTTGATGAAGTAGAAGGTTTATTAAGATATTGATAATGATCAAAATTCTCACAGCTTTCCAGGACAGAAATATCTGAGCAACCATAAAACTGCTCCTGATCTCCATAACCAAGACCACAGAGTTCACCTTCACATCCCCAAGAGTTACCTGAAGAAAAGAATGAACCAATAAGTCAGAATGTTTATATGTTTTAATAGAACATACTTTAATTAAAAACTTTTGAGGCAAGTTATCATCTTGACATAAAAAAAATAATTTTTAGCTGTGTATTGCTTTCAGTAGACCTCATTTTACGTTCATACTGTCTTACAAAATGAAAATGCATACGAAAGAAAAACGTGTGTTATCTTATAATACCTGTATTGTATTTCCACTGAAGGACACATTGATTGCACTGAATATCCTCTGGCAATACCAACTCCACTGTATACTCTCCATTTTCAGGTGCAACGTAATATCTAGTGCCTTCTCCATTGTACAATGTCAGAACGTGCTCGTCGAGGCATTCTTGAGTTACTGGTGTGAAAGGGTCGTTATGTTCACACAACCGGAATTCAAAGTAACCAAGATGATTGGCTGTTATTTGCACTTTGACCTCAATCATTGATGACGTTTTTGTGTAACATTTTGAAATGACACCGCTGGAATATTTGCCACCTCCTTCGTTGTCACGTGGTTGTGGCATCTCATAAGGGTCACCACAAACACCACATTTACCTCCGTTGGTCAGATGTTGGTGCTGAAAAGGAAATAAACAGTCATTGTTTATTTTACTGGGATTGTATATCTATAGGTCTATTGTACCAAAAACATACCTTTTTTAACTGTTTCAATTTATTATTTGATATTTATGAATGAATACTGATGAAAATCAGCTCGAGGATCGAATTCAAAACCAAATTGAATATTTTTTACTCAGCTCGGTAATATTTTTTTTTTTTTTTGCACTATTGTAATCTATATTAGTGTTTTATTACAAATACATTGTATCTTTATAGATTAAAACATTATCATGAAATAAATTGAAAAACAACAAGACCATGGTTATGAGGTCGATTTTTCTATGATGAGTAATTGCTTCTGATCATGATATTTCTGCACTTAATTTGCTATTGGGTCATGTGTGAGATAAAGACATATTATGCTGTATTCTATTCATGATTTTACATTAATTTTTTTTTATTTTTGGGGTGACGCGCATAATAAAAAATATCAAAATATATCTACTTATGAACAACGTTAAAGATGATTTGAAAATAAAGATACTATAGGAAAAAATCCTTTTTGTGAGAAACATATGTAAGAAAACACGTTGAATTTTACATTATTTTGAAAGGTGTTTCAAATTTCTTATTGTTTTATAGAATTATAAGGTGAAAACCGAGGTATATCTTTCCTTAGTTATGTAGTAATTAGTTACTGCATTTGAGTCTATGGTATTTAAGTGAAAAAAGTAAATCAACAATGTTAGGATAGTTATTTAATTTTGTGTAAAAGTTTGACCTTATAGGAACCTTATTATGTAAAAATAATATGATTACAAATTTTAATATATCTGCCAAATTGAATAGTATGAAGCCTTTGTGAAATCCCCCCTCTCTCTCTCTCTTCAATACTCTGTTTTCTATCAAATGTTACCTGTTTTCCTCCACAAAACAACTGATTGTCATTGTAATTTTGAGGGGTATCCCAGCCTTGCCTCCACATGGTTCCTCTTGCTGGTGGGTCTTTAAGGTATCCATGTGGCTCCACAATCCCCACGGTGGTGCAGACAAGTAAGAAAATAACCGCGTAGTTCATGTTTTTCTTCTACTTTCAAATGTCGTTACAAGATCGGAATAAGGAAGTTATAATGTGTCAGACTTTATTTCTTAACGACCTTTTATACCTCTTTAAATACCCGACATGACATGAATTACAAAGGCGTTTTCAAGAGGGTAAGAACACGCGTCAGGTAATTCAATAAGTACAATATGACGGGGGTCATGACTCGATCTATTGTGCCCAATGTGTGTACGTAAATCCGGGTATAGCCTGCTATTTAGGCTCTCCCTCTTCATTCAAAAGATAAATTTCAATGTTTGTTTTTTGTACAAAAAATGACGTTAGATTTTCATGTTTGTAACAATTATTTTTTATTTAGCTAAAGATTTTTTTTTCAATGATTCATTTTGACTATAATGTTTTGAAAACTATAACCTATTTGTATCGCAAAGTGTTGATTGTCTACAATTACATACAAAAAAAAATACATAAGAAAAAGAATGAAAGATCTAGTTAATTCTGGAAAAGTTTAAATTCCTTTTATTTGAGTTATCCTTATAAAAATTGTCTGATAAACTAAAATTGATTTTTTTTATTTTTGAATAGATTACTCTTTCTCTCTCATTAATTTTTCACAAGCCTCTTAGACTTCTTCTCAAAATTAATTAAGGATATTAAAGTTAACTTGATCATGTCAAACTGATAGAAAGTTTTTGCAGTGAGTACACACAGCATATAAAAAACTTTAAATTTGTCTTTGGCATTGCATATAAAAACAAATTCTTCTATTAGATATTTTGTAATTCATGCACTTGTTCATTAGGTGTTTTTCTATTTCTTTCTTTCTTTAATTAATGTTGTCAATTTTGATGACGAAAAACGGAGTTCCGTCTTTGTGAAGCGTTATTCGGGAGCAAACTACGTAAAGTAAATTTCTGTCACTATTGTGAAGTACTGTTTTGAAGTACTATAAAGTGATATAAATCTCTTTCTTCCTGTCCCATTTCGTCACTGAAGACATTATTTTTTCACCACAGCATTGAATGGGCGGGAGCAGTGCTTAAAAACTCAAAAGTGATTACGGGAATAGAAGATATAAAAAGTAGATGATATAAATTTCAAACTGTCGTGTTCAAAAGTTGAAAATATTCCAAAAGGTTACATGGACGCCTTGTTCTAATTGATTCAACGTTATGTGTGTTCTACAACCAGTTATGGGTGTCGAATTGTAAAATTAAATCGGTCATTTATGAACAGGATCAAATGTGAAACTTTATATTATTGGGGTAGTTAATAACGTGCACTCTGAATGAATCATGTGAAACGTGCACGTGTACTAAAAAGAAAAAAGAAACTAATATTATCAGTCCTTAAACATATACAGAACGAAAAGTATATTCAAATGAAAAAAAAATGAATATACACTTTTAAACGGGTACCAAAAATACACGAAACTTTCACAGAATTCTCCAAAATTCTTTCTTTTTTTTTTTTTTAACTTTTAGTAATTTGAAAAAAGTACAGAGAATTGGAGCATTGCACTTGTGTATTTTTATGCTTCGCAGAAATCCATTTTCCATAAAAAATCCAAGAAATCAAACACTGAGATTAATTCAAAATCCTGAACTTTTATTAAAAAATTCTTTTATGTTTTGAAATGTTTTAACACCTCACTAAAACTATATTTAAATCCAATTCAATATAGTTATTACAAAGATGCTAGATGCATTTATGTGCAAACTTTTGTGAAACACAAATTCCTTCAAGTTGGGATCCAACTAAGTTTCTTAATACCTATCAGGACTCCAATAACTGGAATAAGAGCAAAATAAAATATTATTACTAAATATTTTCAGTGTAGTAAAATATTTTCTAAAGATCAAGTTCATGCAGTTTTAAATATAAATCCGAATGTTACTTACCGTATATTTCCTTACTCTCAATTATATTTTCACCGTTGTCAAAAAACTCCTAAAATAAATATGTTTTTTGTTCTTATCTAACAATATTAATTTTCATCCCAGTAAAGCATCGATATATTCCTCAGAAATCAAGGAAAAAAGATGCAAGAGTCTGACATGCCTGTATCGTATTTAGAAATTTTACTACGAAGTTATGGTAATCCAAACAACAAAACTTTGTGATAATTTTTTTCCGATCGTCAATTCCCTCATTTACACGACGTATATTACAATAACAATATGTCATTATCACCTGCATATCAATCTTATGTCTCCCAGTTGGTTCGATTTGGAAGAGAATGCTCTACGTTCGAACAAATTTTGAAACGAGACAAACTACTGAGAAATAAATTGATGCAACAAGGAAATCAACGGTCTCATATAAAAATCAACATTTCTCAAATTCTGTGTTTAATATAAGACCTTGTCAGGAAATACAAGATCATCAAGTCGAATGCTGATTAACATTTTTCATACAAATTGTTAAGCTACTATTTTCAACTGAATTATTATAAGATGTTATCGTAACCCGAACATAAAGGAACATAGGGCGGATGTGACCTGTCGACAGGGGATGCTTACTCAACCATGATTCCAAAAATGGTGTTTATAGCGTTATGTGTGTTTTGCTCCTGTTTTATATTGCTTCAATGTACCTTTAAACATTATTATTGAATATTATCTTCCACATGTATCATTTATTTGATTATTTTTTTTTACTGAGAAAAGAATGGGAAGAGTTTTTTTTTTTTTTTTAATTTCATTTGATAAATTCAGGGTAAAACATTTTTCAATAGAAAATGAGTTTTTTTTTCTTTTTAAATTATTCGATGTTTGAAAATATACCGGGGTATGCAATTCATTTTTGCAGCGTATGATCAGAATATGTTCCTCAGAAAAAATAATAAACAATTACATGTACCTCTGCACGTACTTGGACTTTCTTAATCTTAGAGACAATGGAGTGTTTCTTTAACTAAGCATATTAACTTTTGTTTACAATGTATCTAATATGTAAATATATTTTAAACAATAATAAAATTTTTAAAAAAACATATTCATTTTAGGATGGGAAAAAGAATGGAGTCGCGTCTTATGTATATAAATAAAATTTGTGGTCATCTTTTTGAAGCACCGTGAAACATCTTGAAGTGCTTCCTTCCTGACCTATTTCGTCACATGAAGACAATATTTATTTCTTATCATAATCAAAGTACTGAAAGTACTGTTAGACGGAGGCTTCATGTATGAGAGAACACAAAAGAAATATATATGTCATACATTGCTGTAAAGAATATTATGAGAAATAATGTGTATTTTTTTTTCAATTCAACATTTTTTTCAAAGGATACTCCAATATTCATGAGGTTTTTGGGATATTATAATTTCATCTTTGTAATGTAAACTTCGCCTTGATTAAAGTTCACTGTTATTTAGATGAGATACTTTCAATATTAAACCTTTCAAAGTAAGAAACAGTAATTGACTAGGCCTGGTTGACATAAAACTTAGACGGGCTAACTTTTTATCCCAGTCTCACTTAAGGAATATATAGTGGAAAAGTGAGACTGAGATCAAAAGTGAGCTTGTCTAAGTTGTATGCCCCCAGGCCCGGTTTGATGAATGTAGGTTTAGTATGTTCTAGTCATGAGCCCACTGGCGGAATTAAAAGGGGCCCCTGGCCCCCTCGCTTTTGAGTCCAAAAAATACGCAATATTTGATAAATGAGTGTTTTAATTGTGGCTGTGGGCCCCTTCCCTGACCTCAAACTGGTCCCCCTATTTCAGAATTTCTGGATTCAGCACTAGGCCTCAGCCTGTCAGGAGTCTCCATATTTCAAGATATCTTATTTATAGGTCACAGAGACCTACTGTTAACATAATTATGACATGTAACAGCTACCAAAATCAAAATTTCTCGGCCTTATTGTAATAATGTTATGATATGAGCTAACATGGAAAAAGAAGCAGCCAGGTAATTGGACATGAACAACATAATATAGTACAGTTTGTCTTAAACCTTTGTGATACAAAATGGGGTGACCTAGCTTGAAAGCAACACAGAATTTTCTTTAAGTAATACAACTTCATTAACATGCAATAAATGTTCGTGCCAGAACACAATTTTTTGAGTGGAATAAAATATACTTTCTTACTTTATGTAAACAGAACAATCAAGTTCATAAGACTTGCTATTTCACAAGTTTAAATTGTTTTTGGAGAACTGGAGTATTGCTTACAATAACAAAGATATATTTTGACAAATTTGACAACCAATATTTCTGGAATTATTAAATGTAGTATTTTATCATATGACAGATTAACCAAAAAAATGTCTTTCTTTACTCGCATACCAGTGGAAATGGTTGTCCTTTTCAGTTTATATGTTTAAAACAATCATTAACAATGAGACATGATTACAAATTACGTAGAGAAATGTTATAAATATATAACTATGATTTCTGCTTTTCAGTTAAAACAATCACTTTACCAATGATGTAGGTTTAAAAAAATTGACATGAATACCAATGATCAGAAATACATGTAATCTTGTATATAAAAAATAATTAAAGTTTGGGATATGAAAGAGGTAAAACACAAGTATCAAATGCAAATAAGGATCAACGATATGACAATAAGACAACTTATTTCAGAAGATATGATTTTTAATTATTAATTAGGATATTATGTGATAAATCATGTAAATCCTATGAACCAAGATTTGGGTTGTACCCAAGGGTCAAACGTTACAAATGCATTTTGATCTCAATATCAGAGTTGCCGTTTGTTTCTCTCTTATCTATGTGAGGGTACCCCAAACACTCAAACCGCTTGTAGAAAGTGTAAATCTATTTTCACGTGTTTCCTGAAATTAAACATAATATCAAATAAACAATTCAAAACTAGACTGTTAATATTCCTACATATAAAAATACTATGCATTTGTTTATTCATCGATCCTTGTCAGATTAAAAAACTCCATGAAACCTATTGATGCAAGCGTCAAAAATCGGCCGCAAACCAATTTATCAATTTTATTCAAAAAGAAATTAGAAAAGGAATGAAAATGAGATTACAAACAACAATCAAGCACAAAAAATTCCATTAAAACTGAAATGCTTGATCTATTA